ATTTACTTACTTACTTACTTACTTTTTGAGACAAGGTGTCCCTGTAGCCCCAGTTGGCCTGGAACTCACTATATAGACCAGGCTGACCTTGAACTCACTAAGATTGGTCTGCCTCCAAAGTGCTGGGACTAAAGGCATGTACCATGACGCCCGGCTGAAGTTTTTATTTCTACAATTATGGAAATTACTTAAAGTTGGAAGCCATTCTTTCATATTAGGGGAACTTTTATGATGTATATTTTTTTTAAGTGAAGAATTCCTTTCTGAATCAAGAAAATAACTTGAAATAAGAATTGTGCTTTATTGGGGCTAGAGAGATGGCTCAGGGATTAAGAACATTAGCTTTTCTTACAGAAGGCCCAGGTTCGAATCCCAGCACCCACATGGCAGCTAACAACTGTCTGTAACTCCAATTCCAGGTGATCCGACAGCCTCTTCTGACCTCCGCAGGCAATACATTCATAGACATAAAATAAAAATAGTAAATAAAATATTTTTTTTTAAAAAAAAGAAAAGAAGCCAGGCATCGTGGTGCACGCCTTTAATCCTAGCACTTGGGAGGCAGAGGCAGGCAGATCTTTGTGAGTTCGAGGCCAGCCTGGTCTACATAATGAGTTCCAGGACAGCTGGGGCTATAAGGAGACCCTGTCTCAAAAAGACAAGAAAAAGAAAAAGAAAGAAAGAAAAGAAACTCTTTTGGGGGTTGCAGTTTGAAACAAGGTCACTATGTAACCAGGCTTTCCTCAAACATGTTGTCCTCCTGTTTCAATTCTTCAGTGCTTAGATTACAGGGATTTGCTACCATACTGCTCTGTTTTCAGCTCAAAGCCTCCTGTCATCTTTATAGTTAAGCCTACAATTGAACTGAAACTGAGTTTTGTGTATGGTATGAGTTGTCAGTCAAGGCACATTTATTTTACATTTACATCATGTGAATATTCAGCTCAACTGATAAAACACCATTCATTGGATGGTCACTCAACTGATAAACACCATTTATTGGGTGGATATTCAATTGATAAACATCATTCATTGGGTGGATATTCAACTAATAAATAAAGTTTTGTCTTTCATTGGAGATAAAACTTTCCTTTCTCTACTGCTTTTTTGTGTGTGTGTGTTTTGAGACAGGGTCTCCTTGTAGCCCCACCTGTCCTGGAACTCACTATGTAGACCAGGCTGGCCTCGAACTCACAAACATCTGCCTGCCTCTGCCTCCCAAGTGCTGGGATTAAAGGCATGCACCACCATGCCCGGCCCAATGTGTTACCTTTTCTGTAAATCAGATGACTCCATGTCTGTAGGTTTATTTTGGATTTCAATTTTCACACATAGCATAATTACATTTACGTGGTATTTTTTTATTTTATTTTATGTGTATGCATGTATTGCCTGCATGTAGGTAAGTGCATCTGTGTCGTGCAATGCCCGCAGAGGACAGAAGAGGCTGTCTGATCCCCTGGAACTGGACTTAACGAACAGTTGTTAGCTGCCATGTGGGTGTTGGGATTCAAACCCGGGTCTTCTGCAAGAACAGCCAGTGTTCTTAACCCCTGAGCCATCTCTCTAGCCCCTACATGGTGTTTTTATATTTTTATGCCCTACTGTTTTCATTCCCATCTGTTCATGCCAACAAATATATTTTGGTTATGCTTTTAATAATACATAGTGCTCTTTTCGTTCCAAAATTTTTCCTTTATAAACAGCAATGTGATGAACATTCTACATCCTCTTGACATTCTACATCCTCTCTGAACTTCATAGTTATTTCCTTGAGAATTTTACACATTTAAACTTACCTTACCTACTGAGTATCATTAGAGTATGTTTATGGGAAAAGCTGTGATAAGACAGTCCCTGCTTTCCAGGGACATATAATTAACCATAATTATATGTTGAAATGAGAGTGCCTAAGTGAACAAGTAGTTAAAATCATGAACTTAAGAGTCAGAGTATCTCAGTTCAAAAACAGTACTTTTCTACCTGCTCTGTCAGTCAGATGACTGACTAGGTAGGTATCTAGCTCTATGACTCTAAACAGGTGCTTTTCCTGTGTGTCCCAAGCTCCTCATGTGCTCAGGATTTTTTTTTTGTCTTTTTGAGACAGGGACTCCATACAGCCTTAGCTGAAACTCACTATGTAGACCAGGCTGGCCTTGATCTCACAGAGATCCACCGCCTCTGCCTCCCTGAGTGCTGGGATTAAAGGCATATGCCACCATGCCCAGTTTGTGCTCAGAGGTTTTTTAAAAGAGAAAATAATCTCATAAATAGTTACACTAGTTACTTTTGTTGCTGTGTTTCAGAAGGTTCAATCCATGGTTTTTAGGTACAAGATGGTCAGTTAAGTGTTAGCTGTTATTATGATAATGGTTGTTTCTATAAAAATAATGGCTATAAATGGAAAGTGCAAATACTGTATAAAAATACTGTTTTCTCAGTTTTCATTGTTTATTATCCTTGAGAGCTTGTCTGGAGGTTCTAGCAGTGGAGTACTATACCCTTGAGTGAAGAACAGTCCTCTTCTGTGGGGGAAAGTCCTCTTCAACCACACATAGCTTTGGGAGGTACATGTGGCAGTGAGAAGGAAGGAGACACCTGCCTGATAGTCAGTGGTGTGGCAGATGTTGCAGCCAGATTACCCTTGTATCCATTGTGAGTTATCCTACAAACTCCATGGTCTGTTTGGCTAACAGTAGATTGCCCATACATACATTGATTCAGTGAATAATTGAGTGTCCGTGTGTTCTGGAGATACTGGTTTGTGAACTGAAAGAATAATGGTATTCTAATTAATTTTCTGATTTCAGATTTGAAAGATTAGAAGTCCTGGCTGTGTTTGCGTCCACAGTCTTGGCGCAGTTGGGAGCCCTCTTTATATTAAAAGAAAGGTACATTTGTATGTAGTATAAATCTCACCTATGACACTTAAAAATATGGGAAAATCCAGTGAGACATACGGTTTGAATGTTACACACAGTGTTGGAGTTTTGATGGTACAACTTCTTCTTATTACAGACCTTTTCCCTTTTATACCTATTTCTTTCTTTGATAGTACTAAAATCAGTCTTAGGTGTATCTAAGTGGAAGAGACTCAACCTGACATGTGTTGAAGTTTATTACTAGCCCATTGAAATGGGTTTGGTAGAGAAATACTGATATTACATATTGAGGATAAATTGTGAGTCTCCTGGCATTATCATACTATACATATATACTAAAAGATTTTTGAGCTTTAAGGTTATATATTTAATACAGGTTTTCAGTTTTATAATTTGTGGAACTTATTTAATGTCTTTTTTTTTTCTTTTAGTGCAGAACGGTTTTTGGAGCAGCCTGAGATACACACGTAAGATATTATTTATTTATTTATCTATGGGGATCAAACCAGGACCTGGAGCATGCTAGGGAAATGTTCTACCACTGATATACATCCTCAGGCCAAGATTTTATTTTGAGGTAATTACTATTAATTTTGATCCCGTGTATTAATTACTAATTATTAAATAACACCCCAAAATCAGAATACGGTAGTATTTTTGTTTGTTTGTTTGTTTGTTTTTGTTTTTATTCTATGTGTATGAGTTATTGCCTGTATGTATGTGAGGGTACCTGTGTTGTGCAGTGCCATGGAGGTCAGAAGGGGGCTTCAGATTCCCCTGGAACTGGAATTAAGGACAGTTCATAGCCACCATGTGGGTGCTGGGAATCGAACCCGGGTCCACTATAAGAGCAGTCAGTGCTCTTGTTTTTTTTTTTTAATTTATTTTTATTTTATGTGTATGTGTGTATTGCCTGCATGTAGGTAAGTGCACCTGTGTTGTGCAATGCCCGCAGAGGACAGACGAGGCCGTCGGATCCCCTGGAACTGGAGTTACAGACAGTTGTTAGCTGCCATGTGGTGCTGGGATTCAAACCTGGGTCTTCTGCAGAAATAGTGTTCTTAACTGCTGAGCCATCCCTCCAGCCCTGGCAGTTTGTTTTATCAGTGGCATTTCACTTGGCATTTCTCTAAATCCCAAGACCCTTTAACCTTCAACAGTTCCCAAGCCCTAGGCATTTTGAAATGGCACTGGAAGGACTTCCTTCTTTCTGTACTTCAACTTCCTTATTAATTATGGACCTAGGTCAGCACACTATACCAGTTCCTTCTAGTCTTCTGTAATTCACATTTGACCCCCAAATCTTTTCTTGATGCCTTTAGAAAAGATCACTGTATGTCACCCACTTTGTTACTATGTCTGTGGGCCTTATCTATTAATTCAGGAACTTTGATTTCTCTAGTATGTTGTGAACAAGTTCCATTAACATTTATATTAATCCATAGCAGTAACTACTGGTGAGAAAATATTGTTAATGATAAGAGACCTACCTTGGTGGCTGGTGAGATGACTCAGCAGTTAAGAGCACTGGTTGCTCTTGCAGAGGACCTGGGTTTGATTCCCACCACCCACATGGTGGCTAACAACTGTCCATAACTCCAGTTCCAGGGCATTCGATGTCCTCTTCTGACCTTTGACAGCATTGTATGACAGACACACATGCACTTACACGCATGCAGGCAATATACTCCTACACATAAAATAAAAACAGCAAATTTTAAGAAAGAGAGAGAGTGGGCTGGAGAGATGGCTAAGCGGTTAAGAACACTGGCTGTTCTTGCGGAAGACCCAGGTTCGAATCCCAGCACCCAAATGGCAGCTAACAACTGTCCGTAACTCCAGTCCCAGGGGATTTGACAGCCTTGTCTGACCTCCGCGGGCATTGCATGACACAGGTACACTTACCTACATGCAGGCAATACATGCATACACACAAAATAAAAATGAATAAATAAATTTAAAAAAAAAATTAAAAAAGAGAGAGAGACCTACCTTGTTCTATGTAAGGTGGAATACCACAGGTAAAACATAAATTATGTGCTTAAAAACCAAGTGCAGGTTCTGGTGGCCAAACCATTGAAACTGATCCCTCTTACCTTCCCATCTCAACCTCTCCACATACTGAATTTATACATTGATATTGCCAAGGACAAGTAAAGGTGAATGCTTTTTTCTTTTAGGGGAAGGTTACTAGTTGGTACTTTCGTGGCTCTTTCTTTCAACCTGTTCACGATGCTTTCTATTCAGAATAAACCTTTTGCTTATGTCTCTGAAGGTATGTTGGTTTTTTGTTGTTGTTGTTGTTGTTTTACTAAATTGTAAATCAGTGAGAAATATATTCAGAAGAGAAAGAAAGGCTAACCCAAAGCTTCTCAAGTTTTTATGTAGAGGATTACAGAACATCTCATTAAGCAAAACTGAAAGCTGATATATAAAAACAGGCAGAATTGATCTTGAATTAAATATGAGATGAAAACTTACATTTAACAGTAGGACAATCAGGCAATAAAAGCTTTCTAAAGTACTCATTCATGTCCAAACAACCTCATAAATGTTAAATTATATTTGTGCTGGTTAAAGTTTCAGAACGATGGATCTTTATTTAATTCTCCCCATAACTATTAAAGTAAATACTTTTGTTATCTCCATTTTACAGTAAAGCATTGAGAAATGAAATCACTTGCCCAAAGCTACTCGCTAGTTACATGCTGAGCTAGGACTCGAAAGCCTGTATTCTGGTCGCTGACAGAGCCTTGCTAGTCTTTGTTTATAAACAATTTGCCAATCTGTTTACAAGGTCTCATAAGAAAGTGATACTTTGGTAGTACCCTGCGATAAATCTAAGAGGCTACTTGAGCTTAGAGGTTACTTGGAGGTATCTTTGGATGGACCTAGATGCACTCCTGGCTTTTCTGAGAGCTGAGGGAATTAATAATTGGTATACCTGAACATATTCTCAGTATATTGGTTAAGAAACATTTACTTATAGCTGGGCGTGGTGGTATACCTTTAATCCCAGCACTAGGGAAGCAGAGGCAGGCGGATGGATCTCTGTGAGTTCGAGGCCAGCCTAGTCTACATAGTGAGTTCCAGGCCAGCTGGGGCTACAGGAGACTCTGTCTCAAAAAGACCAAAAAAAGAGAAAGAAATGTTTATTTATTTATTTATTTATTTATTTTGTCCTGGAACTCACAATGTAGACCAGGCTGGCCTTGAACTCACAGAGATCTGCCTGCCTCTGCCTCCCAAGTGCTGGGATTAAAGGTGAGCGCCATCACGCCTGGTGAAATGTTTATTTTATAAAGAGCCCTTAAAAATTTTTTCTGGTACATTTATTTATGGGCTGGAGGGAAGGAGTGTACCTATAACATGGCACATTTGTGGAGGTCAGAGAATGACCAGCAGGAGTCAGTTTTCTCCACCATGTAGGTTCTAAGGATCCAACTCAGGTTGTCAAAATTGATGGCAAGCACCTTTACCTGCTAAGCCATTGCACTGACCCTGAAACTTTAAAAGAACCAGTGGTATGTAAGCCTTTTCATTCCTTTAAGTCAGCTGTGTATTGTGGGTGAAATTGCTTTTGACTTAGTAACTTGAAGACATGAAAAGGGAACACTTGATTTGAGGAGTAGCATGTCCTTTTATCATGTTCTGCAGTCACTGCCAAACTTATTTTTAAAGTAAAAGAACTCAAGTCTTCTCAATGGTTTATTCTTCTGTATCAATAATTTATTTTCTCCTTAAAAGCTGCTAGCACGAGTTGGCTTCAGGAGCATGTTGCAGATCTTAGTCGAAGGTAAGATGCTATGGAGTTTTATCAATTATATAATTTAACAAGAATGCACATGAAATGCATCATGGGAACTTAGATTGTTGCTGAAATTACTGTGTGAATCACACAGATCTAATTCCTATCCCTCCTTTGTTCTTTAATTGCTGTTAGAGAAGAAATCTTTACAGTGACGGAGATCTGATCCCGAGTCTTCTTTGCTTGCTTGCTTTTTGAGACAGGTTCTTCCTGTAGCCCCAGCTGGCCTGGTACTCACTTTGTAGACCAGGCTGGCCTTGAACTCACAGAGATCCGCCTGCCTCTGCCTCCCGAATGCTGGGATTAAAGGCGTGTGCCACCATGCCCAGCTCTCTTTTCGTTCTTCAGTAGTAAAATACAAGTTATCTGATCTTTCAGTGCTTTCGTCAGTATTTTATGAGTTCTGTAATGCATACTCTTTGTTTGGTCTTTCATAGCTTGTGTGGAATTATTCCAGGACTCAGCAGTATCTTCCTGCCCCGCATGAATCCATTTGTTCTAATTGATCTTGCTGGGGCATTTGCTCTGTGTATTACATACATGCTGATTGAAATTAAGTAAGTATATTTGATTGCTGTCAAATCGTTTTGATTCCTGGGCCCTAACTGCTAGGCATTGGCAAGATGGATGGGGTCAGGCTTCTAGCATTTTTACTTATGACCTGTGTAACTTTGATCAAGTCTTATCCTTGAGTGTTTCCATCTGAGAAACTAAGGGACTTAGGCTCAACACAATTTATAATACAGATCAGGGAATGATTTAATTCCCTCCCCACTGCTGACCTGTTGAGTGAATCAAAAGATAGTAAAAGGAGAGCTAAGTCACAGTGGCTGTTGCTGAGAGTTAGGAGGAAAGAAGCAGCTTTAAAAAAAAGAAAAAGCCTTTTAGAAAACAGACCTTCTAGCTGCTTTAAGATCAACATTTTTGTTTGTTTTGGTATTTTGTTTGTTTTAAATATTCTATTATTTTTAATTTATGTAGAAGAGAGTCTTGTCTGCATATATGTAAATGTACCCATGTTGTACAATACCCGTGGAGGTCAGAAGAGGGCATTGGATCCCCTGAAATAAGTTAACAGATGGTTGTTAGCCACCATGTGGGTGCTGGGAACCAAACCTGGATCTTCTGCAAGAGCAGCAAGTGCTCTTAACTGCTGAGCCATCTCTCCAGCTCCTGTTTGTTTTTGAGACAGGATCTCATTATGCAGCTGTGGCTGGCCTGGAATTCACAGTAATCCACCTGCCTCTCTCCCTGCCTCCCAAGTGCTGGGATTATAGATTTGTGCCACTGCATCTGGCCGTTTACATGAGTTCCAGGAATCCAACTTGGGTCATCAGGCTTAAGAGGTCTGAGTGCATTTTCTCTTTTAAAATAATTTGTGTTTGAGGCTAGAAAGATAGCTCAGTACTTAAGAACACTTGCTACTCTTGCAGAGGACCCAATTTTGGGTCCCAGCACCCACATGGCAGCTAACAACTGTCTGTAATTCCAGCTCCAGAGGATCCTTCCCCTTCACGAATGGGTATACTTTCATACCTGTAGGCAAAACATTCATACATATAAAATAAAAACAAATAAATCAAAAAATTAAAAACAAATTTTTGTTTAAAGATATAAACACGAGTTTCTTATTTTTAACCATTTTACAGTGTATAGTTTAGTGACATTTGTACATTCACATTTTTGTGTCAGTCATTATTACTATCTATCTCCAAAACCTTTTCTTCATCCCTAAAGAAAACCTTTGTACCCAATTAAATAGTGGCTCCCTGCTTTCCCTGTCTAAGCATCTCTGGTAACCACCATCCTGCATTCTGTCTCTGGTTTTGACTGCAATGTAAGTACAATCATACATCTGTCTTGTGACTGGCCTAGTTGATATAACAGTGTTTCACATTCCATTCATGCTGTGGTATGCATCTGCATTTCCTTCCTTTGTGAGGCTAAATAGCATTTCATTGTATATACATACCACATTTTATTTACACATTCATCTGCCACCCATGATCATTTGGGTTGGCCCATGTTTTTAACTCTTGTGAACAGTGCCACCATGAATAGGGTGTACAAATACTCGTCTCAGTCGGTTTCTCATTTTCGGTGGGATATGCCCACATGTAGACCTGCTATATCATGTGGTTTTTATACAAACTCTAATACATTCTTCAGTGCCTGCTTTTTTCTTCTTCCCCTCCTCCCCAAACCAGATCTAACAAATCACCAAATTTTACTCAAGTCTTTTCTGGTTTATTTTGTTGTTTTGTTTGTTAAGACAGGGTCTCCCTGTAGCCTGGAACTCACTATGTAAACCAGAGATCTGCCTGCCTCTGCCTCCCAAGTACTGTGAATAAAGCCATTTGCCACCACACCCAGCCTCAATCGTTTCTTAACATTTATTTGTCTCCAGGCTGGAGAGATGGCTCAGACATTAAGAGCACTGACCCGGGTTTAATTCCTATAACCCACATGGTGGTTATCAAGTGTCCATAACTCCAGTTCTGGGGGAATCCAACACCTCCTTCTGACCTTTGTGGGCATTGCATGCGAAACAGGTGCACTTAAACACATGCAAGCAATATACTCATACACATAAAATTTAAAAAAAAAAAGAAAAATGTATGTATATGTTTTATTTATTTGTCTCTGTTTCTATTCTGTTGCCCCAAATAAGGCTGTTGTCATCATCTGACTGTCATCAGAATAGTCTTCTGGTCTTCTGTTTTCATCTTCCATCTTCCAGTTTTGCTAATAATGTGACTATTTAGAATCACCAATAGGATTTTCCTTTTTCATCTCCTTCGCATATGAAAAAATTGAAGGTAGTTAGCCTGGAGTCCTTACCAGCACTCCATCCTCTGGACCACACTGTGGGTTCCTTTCTGTGTCAGGGTCTTCATGCCCTTGCACATGCTGCTTTCACTGTTTGGAATATCTTCCATCTTTCTCATCTCTGAAATCTCTGCTCCTCTTTCTGCATGTAGCCCTCTGAATTACCCTCACCCTGGTAGCCTCATCACTCACTTTGTGCATCAATAGCACCCTGTAGAGACTTATACTTTATTTTTCTATTATTACTACTATTATTGCTTTTTTGTTGTTGTTGTTTTTCTTGGGGGGGATTGGTTTGTTTATTTGTTTTTGGGTTTTTTTGGTGGGGGGTTTGAGATAAGGTCTCATGTAGCCCAGGCTGACCTAGAACTTGTTATGTAGCCAAGGCTGTCCCTGAACTCTGGATCCTCCAGCTTTTACCTCCTAACTGCTAGTATTACAGGTGTGGGCCACCATGCCCAGCTTGAGACAGTCTAATACACAGTGTTTCTTCATGGTTTTCATATGTGTACTCCTACTATTTCTAAGGTAGAGACTATGTCCTATTCATATTTCTAGTCTCAGCATTGGGAAGAAGTAAAATCGTATTCAGGTTCATCTCGCAGCCATTGACATTTTGGTCTGTCTTGTTAAGAGAAAGTCAGAGTTTGAAACATTGGTGTGATATAGCACTTCAGCCATAATGTGGCCATACCAAATTCCTGCGGGATTTTACCTTGTGAAATTCCTGGGGAACTTTGAAATTTTTTTACTGCTAGAATTGTTGTTTATAGGGGTTGGAGCCATGACTCAACAGTTAAGCGCAATGACTGCTCTTGCAGAGGACCTGGTTCATTTCCCAGCACCTAAATGGTAGCTAACAACCATCTGTAACTTCAGTTCCAGGGGATCTGATGCCCTCTTCTGGCCTCTGTGGGTGTTGTGCAACATGAGTGCACTTACATAAATGCAGGCAATACATTCATACACATAAATTAAAAATAAAATATTTTTAAAAAGAATTGTTGCTTATAGAAAAATTGATGGGATTACAGATGAAATCATTCTCTCCATGTCAGAAATCACTAGTTGAAGGTTTTTTTTTTTGGAGCAGATGAATAGATTTTCAGTGATCCCTGAGTCTTATGAGGCAGAGATTTGATATAGGAGTCCTGCACTCTGCAGTCTCTTGTTCTCTGCATGTTGGCCAGTTGTGGATTTGTGTGTTAATTGCTATCTGTTGTAAAAGGAAACTCTGGTGAGAGTTGAGAGATGCATTAATCTGTAGGTGTAGCAATGTCATTAAGAGTCAGTTTAATACTAAAGAGAAAACTAGCATTAGGTTTCTCCCTTATGTCCTGTGGGCTCCATCCTAGGAAGTGGACCTTAAAGCCAATTAAAGAGTGGTTGGTTACTTCCATAATAATCATGCCACTATTACACTGGTGAGCATATCTTGCTAGGTTAGTTGTTACTGTGGTTCAGAGAATTCACAGCTGGGTAAGGCTGATGATTTTTTTTCCTCCTGATAGCTTGCCTAGCATCTTCCAGCACTATGGATACTAGCCAGTAGAGATGAGGCTCTCGAGTCAGCACCGGCTTGATTTCTCCGTGTTTGTTCTATAGCTCATATAAGTTTTATAATTTTAATATAAAGCTCTGTTAATTCCTTCATTGAATTTATTCTTAGAAATTTTACAGGTATTGGGAATAGGATTGCTTTCAGAAAATATTTCACAGCAATCTTATTATTATGTAAAAGGCTACTGATTTTATCTTCTCATTATTCAGGTAAAACCAGATCTGCATTCATTCTATGGTTAATTTGCCATCCTGAGACCAACCCCTTTTTAGTGCTCTCCCTGATATCCAAACGCTTATGAAGTTTTCCACTCTCGCAGATAGTCCTGGCACGAATCCTGGTTCTAGGAACTGTTTTTTGAATTTCAAATGATTCCTTGACTTGGGTCTTTTCCTCACGTGCATGTATTAGCACTCATCTGACTACTCAGAAACCTTTTTTGAATCTCTAAGGGCCTTTATTTCTATGCAGCTCTTCCTTTATGCTCTGCTATAAATTCCAGCTTCTGTCCTCCCAGAATTTCTACTCCCTCTATAAAATTCCTGAAGTCCAAAGGGTACTGCTAGGGCTTCAGGTTGAGGCCTAGACACTTTCTCAAGGCAGTAACATGAGTAATTATGAACTTACCACATTTGTTTTCTTTTATTTTTTTTTTTGTATATTTGTTATTGAATTTTTGTGTATTTCATACAAAACATCTTAATCATCTTTATACCCACTCCCCCATCTGCACCCTCCCAAAACCCCCAACAGATTTCATGCATTCTGTCATTTATGTTAAAACCTATTGAATCGAGTTGGTGTACCCAGACGTCCCTTAGTGCGATTTCATCAACATGGGTCTAGCCAGACTATCTAGAACCTCTCCCTTAAAGAAGATCAACTCTCCTTCACCCAGTAGTAATCAGCTGCCCATAGTACCTTGGCTAAGGTTGGGGCATGCTACCCATTTCCTCTGTTTCCTGGGTTTCTGTCTGCTTGAGTTTGCATGGTTCTTGTGCATGCTGACACCATTGCTGTATAGGCAAGGTCCCAGGAACCTGTAAAACTCTGTTTTCATATGCTCATGTACCTTCTCCCTTGGCTCTTATAGTCTTTCCACCTCCTCTTCTGCAATGGTCCCCAAGCCCTGGGTAGGTGAAATTTAATATAAGAGTCCTGTTCAGGGACCCACATTCTAAAGGCTCTTATTCTCTGTTTTGTCCATTTGTGACCTTTTGTGTTCATTGCCCTCTGTTACATGAGGAGCTTTGAGAGATGCATTAGTATTCTCTTTACCCCTTGTTCCACTGTGTTCTGTGAGCCTTAGATGTAGAGGTTTCACTGTAGATGTATCACTTAAGGTTGGGCTTCTCACAGACACTTAGTCTCTTTGTGGAACTCTGTAATAGTCTCTGTTGCAAAAGAAGCTTCTTTGATGACTGGTGACTGGCATTTTGGCTGTATATATAAAGATCCATATTTAGTATACAGTAAGAAATTACATTTGTCTGGGGATGTGCCAGTCTTAGGGTTTTTTGTAAGATCTACGGCCTCTCCAGCCATGTGTATTTGGCTATGTTTACAGTACCACACAATACCCACAGAGACCAGAAGAGGGCATTGGATACCCTGAGACTGGAGTTAAGGTTGTTAGTGGCCATGTGGGTGCTGGGAACCAAACCCTGGTCCTCTGCAGAAGCAGCAGTACTCTTAACCACTAAACCATCTCTTCAACCCCCACAGTTTCTTTCTTTTTTTTTTTAATATTTTCTTTATTATTTTTATTTTATGCGTATGAGTGTATTGCCTGCATATATGTGTGTGCACCCATGTCATGCAGTGCCACGGAAGTCAGAAGAGGGCTTCAGATTCCCCTGGAGTTAAGGATGGTTCATAGCCACCATGTGGGTGCTGAGAATCAAACTCTGGTCCTCTGCAAGAGCAGTCAGTATTCTTAACTGCCGAGCCATCTCTCCAGCCCCCAACCCCCACACTGTTTCTTACCCCACATGGATCACTGTCCTTTGTTGTACCCATTATTTTGAAAACATTTTTTCTGTTTTTGTTTTCTTTTTTGTTGCTGTTGTCATTGTTAACACTTTTGTTTCAGCTGGAAGACACAGATCTTATAACTTTACTGGATAAAAGTGAACATGGAAGTTCCTGACTTTAATAAAGCTTTGCTCCCTCCTTTTTTTAAAAAAACTTTATTTATTATTTTTAGTTTATGTGTATGAGTGTGTTGCCTGCATGTATGTAAGTGCACCCATGTTGTGCATTGCCTGCGGAAGTCAGAAGAAAGCTTCAGATCTCCTGGAACTGGAGTTACAGACAGTTGTTAGCTGCCATGTGGGTGCTGGGAATCCAACCCAGGTCCTCTGCAAGAGTGCTCTTAACCACTAAGCCATCTTTCCAGCCCTCCTCCCTCCTTTTTAAAGCTCACTTTTTATTTTATTTTTTTATTTTTTGGTCTTTTTTGAGACAGGGTCTCACAGTAGCCCCAGCTGTCCTGGAACTCACTGTGTAGACCAGGCTGTCCTTGAACTCAGAGATCTGCCTGCCTCCGCCCCCCGAGTGCTGGGATTAAAAGGGTGCACCACCATACCCGGCTTAAAGCTTACTTTTTTAAAAAAGTCACCTTTCATACTAATAAATATAACATAGTTATTTGTCCACTGAACGTCGACAGGAATGAATTCTAAAACCTGGATGAGTTTTTCCCCCTTTGAAGTGCTCTTCTGCCAGTAGTAGTCATTTGTGATTTTTTAGAATTCTTTTGTTTTTGATAATATTTGGAATATTAAATTGTAAGATGAAATATATATTTAAGATTCAGAATTATTTTTTCTTGTAGTAATTATTTTGCTGTAGACACTGCCTCTGCAGTAGCCATTGCCCTGATGACATTTGGCACCATGTACCCCATGAGTGTGTACAGTGGGAAAGTGCTTCTCCAGGTAAGGTTTGTAGGTTTGTGGGCACATGTTTACTATTAGCATGTTCTCCTGCTAGACTGGAACAGTGTATCTCTTGAAGAAAGTCAAAATTTTAACCACTGGAGGGCCCTGTTAACAATGAAGTCAGTCTCTGAAATTCTAGTAGCAAGATGCAGCTCAAATCTCCTTGTGTTTCTGTGACATGCAATCACGAATTTACAGCTATTTTCCTCTAATCATCTTTAAATTATTCTTCTAGATATTTAGTTCCTTTCAGTAATATGCTCTGGGTTTTGTATTATCTAGTTATAATTGCTTTCTTATTTCCTGTCTTTGGATCAGTGACACTTATAAATTCCACAATTAAACATTAAAAATTGAATACTGAAGTACTGCAAACACCTGTAACCCAGCCCTGAAGAGAAAATAAAAGCTGGGTGTTTCTGAGCCCTGTTCTTCTTTTGTCTCTTAAACTTCTTCTAGAGCTTTAACCTTTTTCTAGCACTTAGGGGCAGTTGGTCCATCTCCAGAAGCAGTTAACAGTAAGAGAGTAGTTGTGTAGATCGGCCTGCCTCTGTTTCCCCAGTGCTGGGATTAAAGGTGTACCACCACACCTGGCTTTGTTGGTAGTTCTTTAGAGGTCTTATTTGATTCTACAAAGAGCAGCTTCTTTGTGAGAGTTAAGAGTTGGGGGTGTTCCTCCCTAGGAGCCTCTCCCACTCTCGAAACTTCTTCCCCACTTTTCCTTAATAAGTCTGTGTTCACTGTGCTTTAAAAAAAAAAAAAAAAAAGTGTAGCCTTTGATTAGTGCCATTGTCCTACTGTGGGCCAGTGAGATCTCTCTTCCCTAAATCATGATAGGGCACATATCAGAAGCAAAGGCTGGTTTAAAACCCATTTGCTGGGGAGCAGTTCAGGATCACTGTTGCAAAATTATTTTCTTCCTACACTATTCATATTTATTTTCTTGTTCTCTAGACAACACCGCCTCATGTGATTGGTCAGTTGGACAAACTGATTAGAGAGGTAAGTTGCACTAGTAAATTAAAAAACTAATTTATGATAGTGAAATGAAGTGGTGGGTGCATATAATATATTCACTTCTAAATTTGGTTCTATGGGACTTTATGTGTTTTATAATAACACAGAGCCATAACATAGGAACAACAATAGAAAAATTTGAAGAATTGGCTCAGTTTGGAAACCAAATTGACATGAAATAAATGTGGAAGATAATGGTCTACAAACCACCATAATTAGCTGAGTAATTGCTCTGATTTTTCTGACTCTTCAGAATCTAGATAGAGATAAAAATCCACTTTTACATGATAATCCACCTAGTGTCTTTTTTTTTTTTAATGTGCATGAGTGTTTTGCCTACATGTATGTAAGTGCATCCCTATCATGCAGTGCCCACAGAGATCAGAAGAGGACATTGAATCCCCTGGAACTGGAGTTATAGACTGTAGTTAGTTGCCATGTGGGTGCTGGGAACTGAACCTGGGTCCTCTGCAAGAGCAGACACTGCTCTTAACTGCTGAGCCATATCTCCGGCCCCCAAAATTCACTTTTTTCAATACAGCTGGCTACATGCCCCCAAGCAAAGACTGGCCCTATCCCCATGGCCCACACAGTGTATATCTGGCTTTAGAATTCACTAATGGCCCACACCTAAACAGCATCATATCTGGGTGTGGTGGTACAAGCCTTTAATCCAAGTACTAGGGATGAAGAGGCAAGGGGGTTCTCTGTAAATTCAAGGCTAACCTGGTCCACATAGAGAGTTCCGGGTGAGCTAGAACTAGGGAGACCCTGTCAAGACACTCACACACATGCACACACACACACACACAAATAGCATAGCATCCTGTGCTGTGCAGAGGTTTGTTATAAGAGGATCCAGACAAAGAAACAACTAAGAAAACAAATAAAAAATTGGGTACCACAAGTGCTAGAAATAAATATGTGCCACCGTGATTTTAAAAAACAAACGAATGAATGAATGAAAAACTCTGCAGTGTTGAAGTCCTGAGCAGTTGGCCTGATTCGACAAGGACTGGGGATGTCTGGATCAGGACTGAACACACAGGCATAGTATGCTGAATGATCTGTGTGATCTGAACCCTCTGTTGGCTGATGAGTGTTCTTGGGCAAGGTTTAGCTTTGACTTTTCTCGATTTAGAGCATGTCTGTGATGTGACTGAGCTAGGCTGCCACTACATCAGTGCTAACTCCGATAAACTCTTCTGTGTTTTGATTAGGTATCTACTTTGGATGGAGTTTTAGAAGTCCGAAATGAACACTTTTGGACCCTAGGTTTTGGCTCATTGGTATGTCTTCTGTATACTACTTTAATATAATTTGAAACAATTTTTAAAACTAGAAAAAGCACTTAAAATTTTTTCATGAAGGCTTTGAATCTTAGGTTCAATGGATCTAAAATATAGATGGATTTAATTACCTAATTAAAATTGGAGGGTTTTTTTTTTTCACTTTCAAATTACTGGGGTCTGTTAGTACTAAAGATTGAAATTAGGACCTCATGCATGCTAGGCAAGCACTCTATATTGCACTGTATGCCCAGCCCTCAGACTACTCTTGATCTTAATATTAGACTAGTCAGATAACATGAATCCAGTCAGTTTAATATATAAATATGAAAATGTTACCTAAAGCCAGGTGTGGTGGCACATGCCTTTAATCCCAGCACTCAGGAAGCAGAGGCAGGTGGATCTCTGAGTTTGAGGCCAGCGTGGTCTCCATAGTGTTTCCAGGCTAGCTGAGGCTACAGGGAGACCCTGTCTCAAAAAAAAAAAAAAAAAAAAAAAAGAGAGAAAGAAAATGTTACCTAAGTAAAAAGTGCAGTTATTTCCTTTTTGACTCCTATTCTAAAACTTTGGAAATTTTGTTTGTTATAAATCCATAATTTGATTTGGCATAAAAGTCCATATTCTTTTTTTAATATTTTTATTTTTATTTTATGTGCATGAGTGTATTGCCTGCATGTATGTGAGTGCACCCAAGTTGTGCAATGCTGTGGAGGTCAGAAGAGGGCTTCAGATTCCCCTGGAACTGGAGTTAAGGACGGTTCGTAGCCACCATGTGGATGCTGGGAATTGAACCCGGCTCCTCTGCAAGAACAGTCAGTGCTCTTAACTGCTGAGCCATCTCTCCAGCCCCAAAAGTCCATGTTTTATAATACAGTTTGTACTTCATTACTAGAAAAATTTTATTATGGCATGGTTTTATTTCTGTCAAAAATGATGAAGAAAATATAGAAAAGTATCTTCTACAAAATATATATCATCTGTCATCTAGGGAAATTACTGGGAAACTTTGGTGTTTATACTTAACCATTGGTTTTCCTTCAAAAACCATGCTGATTTATTTTCTCTTTTCATTTAACATACCAGTTTTCCCTGTGATTAAATACTCTTCTGTAAAAGGTTTTGTTTATTTGTTTTGGCATTTATTTTTCTTATGAGACAGAGTCTCATTCTATAGACCAAGATTGCCTTGACCTCAAGCCTCTTATCTAAGCTGAAATTATAGCCATGTACCACCACACTTGGCTTACAGAATCATTTTTAAAAATCAAATATAAATGTATTGTTTTATTTTATGTTTTGTTTTGTGGTAGGGTCTTGCTCTGTAGCCCTGACTTGCCTAGTTTTCACTGTGCAACCCAGGCTGGCCACAAATTCCCAACAATCCTCTTGCCTCCCTGTTACAAATGCTTAGATTACAGATGTGAGCCACCACACTCAGCTCTTAGTTCATTTCTCTCCTTTTTAAAAAATTTTTATTATTTTTATTTTATGTGTGTGAGTGTGATACCTGCATGTATGTAAGTGTACCCATGTCATGCAGTATTCGTAGAGGTCAGAAGAGGGCGTCAGATCCCCTGGAACTGGAGTTATGAACAATTGTTCGCCATCATGTGGGTGCTGGGAACTAGACCTGGGTCCTCTGAAAGAGCCAATGCTCTTAACCACCACATGTATGTAGATACACCTATGTTGTGCAATGCCCATGGAGACCAGAAGAGGGTGTCAGTCAGATCCCCTGAAACTGGAGTTAGGAATGGCTATTAGCCATTTTTTGGTCTTTTTGAGACAGGTTCTCCCTGTAGTTCCAGCTGGCCTGGAACTCAATATGTAGACCAGGCTGGCCTTGAACTCACAGAGATCCACCCCCTCTGCTTCCCTAGTGCTGGGACTACAGGCGTGTGCCACCACGCCCAGCTCCATTTTCTTCTTTTTAAAAAAATTTTAATTATTTTTTGGGGGCCTGGAGAGATGGCTCAGCAGTTAAGAGCACTGACTGCTCTTACAGAGGACCCGGGCTTAATTCCCAGCACCCACATGGCAGCTAACAACTGTCCGTAACTCCAGTCCCAGGGGATGGGACAGCCTCTTCTGACCTCCTCAGGCATTGCCCAATACGGGTGTACTTACCTACATGCAGGCAATACATGCATACACATAAAGTAAAAACAATAAATAAAATTTTTTTTAATTATTTTTATTTGGGGGCTGGAGAGATGGTTCATCAGTTAAGAACAGTGGCTTGTTTTTTGCAGGAGACCCAAGTCTGATTCCCAGCAGTCATGTGGTGGCTAACAACCATCCATAACTCCAGTTCCAGGGGAATCCAACGATCGCTTCTGATCTCTTCATGGGCATTGCACAACACTGGTGCACTGACATACACATAGGCAATACACTCATACACATGAAAGTAAAAGAAAATAAATAAAAGTGTTTTTATTTTATATATATGAGTGTATTCCCTGCATGTGTGTCAGTGCACCTGTGTCTTGCAAAGCCCATAGAGGTCCGAAGAGGGCATTGGATCCACTAAAACTAGAGTTAGTAACAGTTGTTAGCTGCCATGTGGTTGCTGGGAATTCAACCCAGGTCCTCTGCACAAGCAGCCAGTGCTCTTAACTTCTCAGCCATCTCTCCAGCCTTCGATTTTCTTCTTTGGGAACCTGTCTAGTGTGTTGTGTGCACATGAGCATGCGCATATGGAGGAGGTCAAAGGAAAATATCTGGTGTCTTTCTCTATCAGGGTCTGCCTTATTGGTTAGAGCAGAGTCTCACGAAACCTGAAGTTCTTCATTTGGCTACACATGAAAGAAAAGAAAATAAAACCCAGCATAGCTAGCCAGTGAGCTCCCAGGATCCCCCAACACTGGGTGACAGGGATGTATGCCCCTAGCTTTTATATGGATGCTGGGAATTCAAACTCAAGTTCTCATTACACAGTAGACACTCTTACCCACTGAGCCATCTCTCCAGCCAGTTCTTTGGGAACTTCTGTTTGTATGCATATTAGATCTTTGCCTTTCATATTTGTTATTTTCTGTCTTGTAGTTATTATCTCTTGTTTTTTTTGATCTTTTAAAAATATTTTTATTTATTTTTATGTGTATGAGTGTATTGCCTGCATATGTGTAAGTGCACCTGTGTTGTGCAATGCCCCAGGAGGTCAGAAGAAGGCATCAGATCCCCTGGAACTGGAGTTATGGGCGACCATGTGGATGCTGGGAATCAAACCTGGGTCCTCTGCAAGAGCCATCTCTCTAGCCCCTAAACAGAGTCTTACAGGCTCCTGGGACTTTGGTCATATGAACCCTACAGCAATGGTGTCAGTATGCGCAAGACCCATGCAAATTCAAGCAGACAAAAACCCAGCATAGAACTGTGGAAATGAGCAGCAGGCCCCAATCTTAGCCAAAGAATTGTTGGCAGCTGATTACTACTGGGTGAGGAAGAGCTGACCTTTTTTAAGGGAGTGACCCTTAGATAGGCTGACTAGACCTCAGTAGATGAACTTGCACTGAGGGCCATCTGGGTACACTAACCTAACATAAATGACAAAATGTATGAAATCTGGTGGGGGTTGCTATGGGAGGGTGTGGATTGGGGAGGGGGTATAAAGATGATTAGAGGACCCGGGTTGAAATACACAAAAATTCTATTAAAAATATACAAGAAAGAAAGATTTTTAAATGTATTATTTTTGCCTGCCTGCTTTCTTTTTGGTTTTTGTTTGTTTTTTTCTTTTTTATACTGGGAATTGAACATAAGGCTTTGTGCATCATAGGCAAGCGTTCTTCTCTGAACCACATCCCCAGCCCCCTATTTTTCTTCAGGTACGCTTATTTGCTTTTATATTTTCTTTAGTATAATATTCATTTCTGAAGTGACTTCTTTTCTCTTGTCTTTTGTCATCTGTTTCTATGGTTTTCTAATCCTAATTTATCTTCCTATTTTATGTCTTTTTTTTGTTTTGAAAAAATAGGCTGTAGTTACGTCTTTTCTCTGTTTTTCTTCTAAATAACTTCATTTGATATTTGGCTTTAGTCCTTTTTGTTTGTTTTTTGCAAATATTTTCTTGCTTTTGTTTGTTTCTTGTTGTTTTGAGTTGAGGTTTCACTCTGTAGCTCAGTCTCAAGTTCTGGGGTTACAGTCAAGCACTACCATGCCTGGCTTCTATTGCTTGTTTTTATGTGAAATTAGTTTTCCTGACCTCTCCCTACCAGTACATATACTTAAAAATAAGAAAAACAAATCTTTCAAACAAGCAAGGAAGCCAGGCATGGTGATACACACCTTTAATCCCAGTACTCAGAAGGCACAGGCAGGCGAATCTCTGTGAGTTCAAGGCCAGCCTAGTCTACGTAATGAGTTCCAGGCCAGCTGGGGCAGCAGGGAGACCCTGTCTCAAAAACTTTTTCAGCTTTTTAAAGGGTCACAAATAATGTGATTAACTTTTTTCATTGATAATCACCAGTAGTAAATAGTTCTTAAGAAATAGCAAGGCATGGGGCTAGAGAGATGGCTCAGCAGTTAAGAGCACTGACTGCTCTTGCAGAGGACCCGGGTTCAATTCCCAGCACCCACATGGCAGCTGCCAGTGGTCCATACCTCTACATCCAAGGGAATCTGAAGCCTCTTCTGACCTCCACTGGCATTGCACAACTTGGGTGTACTTACATACATTCTGGGAATACACTCATACAAATAGAATAAAAATAAATAAAATTTAAAAGAAATAGCAAGGTATTAAGTTTCCTTTTATTTTGTTATTTTATTTTGGGGGTTATTTTTGAAACAGAGTCTCCCTGTAGCCCCAGCTCCACCCCCCTCTACCTCCCTAGTGCTGGGATTAAAGGTGTGTACCACCATGCCCAGGTGTTTCCTTTTATTTTAAAGAAATACCAAGTAATGATCAAATCATCATTAAAATGTATTTTAATGAAATTCTCATTATAGTTCTAAGCATTCTTATGATTCCCCCCCCCCTTTTAGGCTGGATCAGTACATGTACGAATTCGACGAGATGCAAATGAACAAATGGTTCTCGCACATGTGACCAACAGGCTGTATACACTTGTGTCTACTCTGACAGTGCAAATTTTCAAGGATGATTGGGTCAGGCCGGCTGTACTGTCTGGGCCTGCTGCAGCCAGTGTCCGACACTTCTCAGATCATCACGTCATCTCAATGCCTCTTTTAAAGAATACTGATGATGTGACCCCTGTCACATCAACTCCAGCCAAACCTAGCAGCCCACCTCCAGAATTTTCATTTAATACCCCTGGGAAAAACATGAGCCCAGTTATTCTTCTAAACACACAAACAAGACCTTATGGTTTGGGTTTTAATCATGGACATGCACCATATAGCAGCATGCTTCACCAAGGACTTGGAGTTCCAGGAATTGGAGCAACCCAGGGATTCAGGACTGGTTTTACAAATATGCCAAGTAGATACGGGAATAGCAGTAGAATTGGACAAACAAGACCTTGATATACTGTAACTTATTTTTGTGAGGAATGTTGATTGACTCCTTTGGCTTCCAGTGTATTTAGTAATGCAACTTGCTTTGACTGTTCAATCATTTACACTAAATGTCAGATTATTGTAGGCTTGTTCATATTTCACGAAACCTATAAACTATATTTTTGTAAAGTGTTTTTGTGGCGGTGAGATCTTTGAAAATGTTAAAGGCTTTAAGTAGGCTTCCTTTAGAAAGTGCATTTGTTTTGTAGCTGACAACAGCATATGACCCAACCTTTAATGAGAAAGCCACTTGAAGGGAGCGGATCTGTTGTCTTATTAACAATACCCTATTTCCTTCAGTGAAACTTATAAACATGCTTTGTGGAAAACGCACATTTTAGGAAATAAAAAAAAAAGTCCATTTGAAAAGTAAAGTTCTCTTACAGCTTTTCTAAATTAATTGCTACATTTTTAGGTCCCCTGGAATTATTTCCTATATCATAAAAAGCAGAAGTTTTTATCAGAAATTGTGAGACATTCTGTCTAACACAGGTTAATTTTTTATAATTATTCCTGGTCTTTTGAGACAGGGCCTTGCTATGTAGACCAGGCTGGCTTCAAATCCATAATCTTCCCAAGTGCTAGCATTAGAGATCTTGAGCCACGATACCCATCTTAATTTTTTTTTTTTTTTTTTTTTTTTTTTTTTTTTTTTTTCTCCCTGTAGCTAGTTGGCCTGGATTCACTATGCCTGGCCTTGAATTCAGAGATCTGCCTGCCTATCTCCAAAGTACTGGGACTAACCACGCCCTTTGAGAACCACTTTGATTTTGTCTCTTATGTACATGTAAAAGCCTTATAAGGTATGAACAAAAACTTCTGACTCTAAAAGATATTAGCACATTCCAATGCCCTGAAGACAGCCCCTACCAATCAAGACTTAACCCCGTACACAAGATATGGGGACATCCAATTAAGTCTTTCCCCATACACAGGATATGGGGACATCCAATTATTTTAAAAAATGCTTGGCGCGTGCAGGTTTCTATGAAGTGCCCCAATAAAAACTACTGCCTGCTATTGTTCAGGGCCAGACTCCATATTTGGCTCATGAAGTCTGTGCCTGGCTAGCCGCCATTTGGTTATTATCTTTTTTTTCTCTTTAAATTCTTAAATAAACTTTTGTATAATCTTTTTGGGTATCTGTGGGAATTAGTCTCGATTCTCAAACCCTAACATTGTGGGGGCTCGTCTGGGATTCGAGAATAGAGACCCCAGACCCACAGAAGTGCCACTGGAGCTGGCCTTGGTAAGTTCTGCCTGTCTGCCTTTCTCTCTCTCTCTCTCTCTCTCTCTCTCTCGTCTTGCTTTTCAGCAGTCTGGACATCCTGGGGCTCAACAGAGATCAGGCAGACACGCTATTGATCCCAGAGCTGGAGGAGAATGGGGGACACCCCAAATACTCTTCTCTGTTGAGGAGTCGTGCTCCCGTCTGACATGGAATCCAGATGGGGCTGGCCCAGAGTCTTGGCCCAGTCCAACGTGGAATCCCAGCTGGCCAAATCTTTTTGGGAAAGGAACAGGGGCAGCCTTCTCAGCTGACCCCACATGCTGCGAGGTTTTCATTTCTCCCTCTAGGGAACTGCCATCTCATACTGTCCTCACCCTCTGCTCAGAGCTCCGCCTTGTCTATCGACTTTCCGTCCTACTTCTCATTCTCATCCCTCTCCTTATATTCTTTTTTCTTGAAGCTTATCTCACGATGGGCCAGAAAGTCTCATCATCTTCAGCTCCCCTTGATCTAGTTTTTAGTCATTTTCAGGACTACAAACGAGCAGCTTCGAACATGTCTGGACTCCATGTCAAACCGACCCACCTCCAGACCCTCTGCACCATCAAATGGCCCTCCTTTGAAGTTGAATGGCCACCTGAAGGGTCCTTTAACCTGTGCCTCATCTACAGGATTCAAGGAGTTATCTTCGGGGAACTGGGGCACCTTTACCAGATCCCATACATCTTAGGTTGGCAATAACTGGTTGCTGCCCCCCCCACCTGTGCTCCTTACTGCCGCCCCCGCCACTGGGGCCTAAGGAGCCTGCCACTTTGCTTCCCCTGAAGAAAGTTCATACCAAAAACCCATCAGGTCCTGAGGTCCTTCCCTAGGCGCCAGAGGAAGATTTCCTCCCGCCACCTTTTGGGACCCCAGTGAGTGCTCAAGACCCCAGTGAGTGCCCAGTCCTTCCCTGTCTCCGTCCCCAGTCCCCGTGGCTGAGCCAGCACCTCCCATGGCCAAGCCCAGCCCAATGCACACTAGCTCGAAGGGGGAGGGGAGAATTGTGGGAGCTCTTCCCCTGAGGGAGATTGGACCCCCCAAGGGAGGATGGAATTACCCCAGTAGTCTACTTTCCCTTTTCTACTAGTGACTTGTATAATTGGAAGTTACAGACTCCCTTTTCACAGAGAAGCCTCAGGCCCTAATTTCCCTCCTGTATACCATTCTTTTTACTCACCAACTCACTTGGGATGATTGCCAACAGTTATTAAATATCCTGTTCACCACAGAGGAATGGAACCGCATCCTTTGGGAATGCAGACACACGGTCCCTGGAAATGATGGGCGACCAACAGAGAATGAGGATTTGATTGTGGCTGCTTTCCCTCTCACACGCCCAACAGAGGGGTGGAACTATAACACCCCCAAAGGTAGGAAACGCCTAAAGGTCTATTGCCAGATTCTTATGGGGGGGTCTCCGGGCAGCTGCTAAGCACCCCACCAATTTGTCTAAGGTCAGGTGATGCAGGGAAGCGATGAATCTCCTGGAACATACCTGGAATGCCTGTTAAGAGGCTTTCAGAACTTATACTCCCATAAATTCAGAGGCCCCAGAGAATCAGATGGCCATCAATATGGCTTTCGTAAATCAGGCAGCTCCAGACATAAAATGAAAACTTCAAAAACTGGAAGGTTTTGAGGGCAAAAACCTTTCTGAGCTGATGGTAGTGGTGAACAAGGTATTTAACAACAGAGAAACCCCTGAAAAAAAGACAAACAAAAGGGCTGGCTAGGATATTGTTGGCTGAAAGAGCAACGAATCCCAAATGGGGGGCACCAATGCTCTATGAAAAAGGGAACCCGAGCCCTGCGACACCCACAGGAAGGTTGGCCCCACCTAAAAAGAGACCACTGTGCATACTGTAAGCAGCTGGGCCACTGGGCTAGGGAATGTCCTCAAAGGATGGGATCCCAGCCTCCCTCCAAGCCCAAGATTCTCGAGTTGGCAAACCTAGAAAACTGAAGGGGCCCGGGCTTGGTGAACCTCCACCACAAGCCCTGGGAGACCCTACAAGTGGAGGGATGAGCTGTCGACTTCCTAGTTGAGACCAGAACACAATATTCAGTTTTAAAAGAGCCTATGGGAAAATTGGCCAGTAAACACACCTGGGTGCAAGGGGCCACAGGAATCGCTCAGCACCCTTGGACTACCAAAAGGGAAGTAAACTTAAGTAAGATGACAGTTCACACTCCTTTATGGTGGTCTCAGAGTGCCCATATCCCTTATTAGGTAGGGATTTGCTAAATAAAATGAAAGCTCAAATCCATTTCTCTGGGAGAGGTAAAATGAAGGCTCAGATCCATTTCTCTAGGAGAGGACCTCCTGATGTGACTGTACCAGATGCAGCCTATATCCTGTGCTTACAATTAGAAGAAGAAAGGAGAGTGCACGCCCCACCCCCTCAAAAGAGACCGACTGCTATCCTCAAGGACCTCCAGGCAGCAATCCCTGGAGTCTGGGCAGAAACTAATCCCCCCAGGGAGGGCCATCCAACAGCCACCAATAATGGTTACTTTAAAAACTAATGCTCAGCCTGTAAGAGTAAAACAGTACCCAATGACTCACGAAGCCAGGGCAGGGCAGGAATTACAAAACATATAAACCGCCTTAGGGAGTTTGGTATTCTGGTTCCATGCCAATCTCCATGGAACACCCCTCTGTTACCCATCAAGAAACCAGGGACTAACAGTTCCCGCCCAGTGCAGGATTTGACCAAAGTTAAGAGGGTTGAGGATATCCACCCTACAGTCCCCAATCCATATACCCTGCTGAGCACACTTTCTCCACGGAGAAGGGTCTATACTGTTCTAGATCTCAAGGACACCTTCTTTAGCCTGACCTTGGCAAAGGAAAGTCAACCCATCTTTGCCTTTGAGTGGCAAGACCCAAACCAGGGGTTTAATGGACAACTCACTTGGACACAACTGCCACAAGGGTTCAAGAACTCCCCCACAATGTTTGATGAGGCTCTACACCAGGACTTGCAGGAATATCGGGCCTCGCAACCAGGGGTAAGCCTCCTACAATGTAGATGACCTGTTAATTGCCACTGAGGGTGAGGACACTTGTCTTCAGGCCACCAGAGATTTGCTCCTGACCTTGGACCGATTGGGGTATAAGGTCTCCGCCAAGAAGGCTCAGCTCTGTGTCACAGAGGTAATGTACTTGGGGTACATATTAAGGGATGGGCAGAGGTGGCTGTCACCAGTCAGAAAGCAAACGATTATGGGAATTCCAAGCCCGAGATTCTGCAGGCAGTTGTGAGAGTTCTTGGGATCAGCAGGCTTCTGCCGGCTCTGGATACCCGGGTTCACTGAGCTGGCAAAACCCTTGTATGAAGCCACTCAAGGAAATGAGTCATCTTTCCTATGGACTGAAACTCAGGAGGGGGCCTTTCAAGAAATTAAGAAGGCTTTATTACAGGCCCCAGCCTTGGCTCTGCTAGATATCCATAAGCCCATCAGCTCTTTGTTGACGAACAAGCAAGAAGAGCGAAGGGAGTCCTGACCCAAATGCTTGGGCCTTGGAAGAGACCTATGGCTTGTCGAAAAAGCTTGATCCTGTGGCCTCTGGATGGCTGGGCTGCCTCAGAATTATCGCAGCCACGCCTTATTGGTTAAAGATGCAGATAAGCTCATGCTGGGACAGCCCCTTACGGTCACCACCCCTCACTCGATTGAGGGGGTCCTTGAAAATCCCCCCAACCGATGGATGACAAATGCTCGGTTGATGCATTATCAGGCCTTGCTCCTTAATCCCCTTCAAATCCAGTTCCTCTCCAGCACCGCTCTCAATCCTGCCACTTTGCTGCCAGAACCGGAAATTGAGGTCCTGCACAAATGCCTAGTGTCCCCG